GACATTGAAAAGAAATCGGAGGCCTTGTCCCCACCACATAGAAATCCTGATTCAAACCACCCGGCTATGTCCTGCATCACACTTCATCACAAATTGGGCAAAGTCGCCTTCAAATTAAGTAGAAAAGCTACAGTTTCAGATCTTTTAATTTTAAAAAAAAGGTAAAATTAAGGGACTATTTGTCATTATAAACTATAAACTTCAGTCAGTAGCTATATTAGAATGAATGAAAAGTAAGGTTTTACTCAACTGCCCAATATTTATAATAATTCAGAAAATGAGTATTAGATAAAAGATGCAGTCTGGTTTCATATGGTCAAATGTAACATAGTAGTCTATTGCTAAAACGATATAACCTGAAGAAAACTCTATAATATGATTAAATTCTACCCTGCATACATCCTCATTAGATCGCTGTAAAAGGTAACAATGGAAAATGCTTGACAATTTCTGTAGAATGGCTGTAGTCTTGAACATGTATAAGCTAATTTCAATATAAATATTAACATCTCTTAAAGCAGTATCTCTTAAAAGGGTGAAATCAAACAGCAAGTGCCAACAAGTTTGCAGGTAACAGAACATCTTTTTTGATCATTTGCCTCATTTATGTTTTAGGCATTTACAAATTACACATGGATATCCAACAGCAGCAAAACACAGTAAGATAAAGCAAAAACTTGTTTGCTATTTTTAATATATCTTACATTTTTGTAATAACCGGCTTGAAATAATATAAAGATGACACCACTTTGAAGCACTGTAGTATTTAAGGCATCCTAATTCGATTTATTGTCTAAAACGTGCCTCTCACAGAGTCATTAATCTCAAGGTGGCTCTAATCACAAGGGTGCAGAGAATATTTAAGAAAGAGCACAATTCCTTGCACTCCCAGCATTTTTTAAATGGCAGTAGTCCTCCTTCCTTCTTGGTCAAGAGGGGAAAAGAGGAAGAGAGAAAGGGAAAAATGGACTTCTCTGTAGAATGATTTGGCCTTGGAGTCTGGGCTTTTGAGACGTGCTAGTGATCTCGGATCGATGCCTTTTTATTTTCTTTCAGGAATAAATCTGAGCAATGGAATGGCTGGCGATTGTCCGGCCAACCAGCCATATCAGATTTATCAGAAAGAAAGAATGAAAACTGACTCAGAGGACTCCTGCAGAGGCTGAGTGGCAGCTTGCTGCTAAAGACACACACAAAGAGAATACCCTTAGTGATGGAGGAGAAAATATTATTTATTAAAATTACACATATGAATACATAAGATGTAAAGAAAAAACCTATAGTAATGGAAAGGGTGAATGCAGAAGACAGATGATAAATAGCGCTTCTATTTAAGAACCAAAGGAATGAAAGCTCATGAATACTAAATATTTGAATCCACTTTAAGGAGGAAATATGATTTTCCCTCAAATGAATGCAAACTCTAAAAATCAGCCAACGCAAACTTACTGTGTTCAGGTTAAAGATACGTAGCTGTTCCATGAAGTGTGTGCCCTGGTAAATATTCTAATACAATTTCTTAATTAAGACACATTTCCAGTGACTAAATGAAAATATATATAAAGCAGTCAGTGCCTTGATTTTCAAAAAATTTGGCTTTCTATGCATGCATAATTAAAATAAATAAAAGCAGTTTGGTTTAAGAGAAAAAATCAGAATACAAGGGATCATGATACAACTAGTCATTCAATTTTATCATAACAGTCCATATAATAATATTTTCAAGTGTTTTATAGTTACAGTAATAGGTATAAATTTATTAAGAAGCATTCTGAAGGAAAAAAATCTTCTTTAAAAAGGCCCCTTTGACATATATAAGAATTTCAAAATTAAGAGAAAAAAGAAGAGTGTACCCACGGGTGTGCTTACAGCAAGCATGTGTAGGAAAGAGGATTGATGGGTTTTGAAAATATATTTAACTAAGTCTTAATCACCTTTTTCTTCTCAAATGTAAAAAACTCTAAGTTTGGAGGCATGATATATAGGAAAAATGTATGCTCCTTTATAGGATGAAAAGCAGAACCAAGTTATCTGCAAATAAGAAATGGAAACTGAACTTGTTCATCACATAAGTATCAATGTTTGTTAAGGGTATCAGTTCAATACTACTCTATATTTTATTCCAATACAAAGGTAACTGATTATTTTTCAATCATGCCAGACAGAAATTTTGGAATTATTCCTTTTGGTGGTAAAGGTTTTATAATTATCACATAAAGGACCTTTGGCTATAGTATTTATACATAAAGTGAATCACTGGAAATCAGGCAAAGTCCTTCAGAATTACTAAAATACCACCTTCTCTAAAGCTGATTTTTTTCAAGCAAAAGGAGAAAACACAAAAACAGGTCCTCTTCCGTTACAACTATTTTGAGAAATATCTTAGATCTATACAACGGAACCCCCTAGATTTTATTCTGTTCACAGAGATCAGTAAATAAGGTGCATTCCTTCTGCTGCTTAAGAAATTAGCATTTCAAAAATGTGCCACTTTCCCCTGAACTCCAAGCGTGTCTAATAATGCGAGCAGCAGACTGTCTTCCCTCGTTTCCTTAATTTGTTTCATCTAAAAGCAATTCACTCAACATCTTGTCGCCCTCTGGCAGCTTAGTTTACTTATCCGCACTTAATTTCTCATTTGGACCAAAACAAACTCCTCCAAACAGCTACTGACTGCTAACCGCGAGAGGGGAGACACGCAATATGTATTTACTTGGGAACATACAGACACACAAACACAGCCACACACACACAAAGCCTCACTCATACACCAGACAGTAACTTGGTTTTATAAAAGCGCTACATTAAAACCAGCGGAACTTTCCCTGCCAGGTGCCGCAGGGTGGGGGTGGGGTAGGATGAAAAAAGAAGTCCCGGGGCATTTCCAGGTTCCAGTGGATCACCTTAGCTTGCGCGCTGCAGTTACACCGGGACGCGCCGAGACGTCTTTGTGCGGCCCTTTCGTCTAGCTCACTTTGTGTTTTGAACGAGTAAGGCTCGCCTTTGTGCCCCTAGAATTTCAAGTACACAGTCACACACGGAACAACAATGGCACGCTAATCCTCGCGCTCTAAATGGGCTCACTTGTGGGTCTGACAATTCGCGGGGGGTGGGGGGGGAGCGAGAAGAGACGAGCGAGGGCGCGAGGCGGTGTCGCCTGAGACGAGGAAGGGGACAGCTGCAGAACTAATTTGGATTACATTCCTTGCAGAAATTCTGAAAAGGGCTTTTCGGCATAGCTCAACCACGAGCCGCACAGTTAATACCCAATGGCTGCGGACTCGGAGCCGGGTCCCCCAGCGGCTGAGGCCGAACCAGACAGCCCCCAGTAGGTCGCCTCCTAGAAATTCCTCCCGGCTAAGCCTGCCTGTCAGTGGCCACCGCTTTTGAATGGGTCAATGTGCATAATCAACCCATTGAGGGAAAATATGAAGGGACTCCGCGTGGGGAGGGAGATAAAAAGGGATGTATCCAGGAGGCCGCTTGGAATCTCAAGTCCGTGTTGGTGATGTCCGGAGGTGGCTGGAACGCGGGACCTGGTACGCATGAAGAATTTCGGAGTAATTGGGAGGGTGCAAACGGCCACTACAGACAGCGCGCTTTGTGCCATTCGAAGGTCATTTTGAAAGACTCGATGATTGTAACTTGTTATTTACAAGGCAAGGAGGGGGCGGCGGCGGGGGCGGAGCGGGAAACTACAGCGCGCTGTTTTCTTGGCGAGGTCAGAAGGACACCCTCCGGCGGCCTAAAGCTCTCCCATCGCCAATGCCGGGGGCTTTATCTCCTTTAGCCGCCTCCCACGCTCCCGCTACCAGCCCCAGAAGGTTCCGGAAATCTCTCCGGCTCTCCAAAAGGCCGCCCTTGGCCGCGGGAGACCCCGGTTCTCCTCCGTCCTTTCCTGTCCCACTTTCATCCCCAGGAAACTCAAGCGTCAGAAACTTTGAGCTCCCTCGCACTGCAGGTGCTGTCATCAGCCCTGCGCGCCGCGGAGCACCAGCCCCACTGCGCTGCCTCCCCAGGGGTCAGCCGACCCTGTGCCCGTCCTGGTCGCCGGCGCTCGACCTCTCCAGCAAACAGCGGCCGCGCGCACGGCGCAGCCACGCCCGCCTCGGCTTCAGTCAATCCGCGCGCCGGGCCGGCTCGGCAGCCGCGCCGGGCAGTAAACAGAGAAGTTGGAGGGACTCCGGCCAATAGCAAGTTGAACTGCAGGAAGAACTCTTCCTGGAGCCAAACACAGCAACCGACGGGAAGGCCGGACTCCCGGCTCAAGTATGTCAAGCCTTTCTTTTTTTTTTAAGGGGTCAGGCAGGCAAAGCAGCTCCCCTCCCGTCAATGGGGCGAGGACTCCGGGACGCCGGCCGAGGAGGCCCAGAGTTCCAGGCCCCGGGCCGAGGCGCGCCCGCCCGCTCCCCGCGCTCCAGCTGCCCAGGCTGGGCTCACGCCGGGTCTGACCCCGCGAGGCTCGGGCGACTAGGGGCGCAGTGGCTGCCGGCAGCACACACAGGTGCAAAGCCTCGCTCGCGGAGTCCCCTCCTCACAGCCTCCCTAAGATTCCTAAGCGGCTCAGTGGCACCGCCGCGGGACCCCTGTCCGTCCGTCCTCGGCCCGGCGGGGCGCGCAGACGGGAGAGGACCGCCTCCTCCGACGCGGGCTTTGGGTCTCCCACGTCCCGCACCACAGGCGCGCCCAGCAGGGATCCCGCTTCGACTCACAGAAAAAGCTCCAGAAAGAAAGGGCTTCAACAGGGAGAAAAAAGGGGCAGGGACGCAGAGCGGGATTTTTCACGATCCACAAAACACACGCACACACACAGGTTAAGTTTGAGGACAGAGACAGGGGCGAACGAAAGCTCAAGGATGAGGCCCCGGTACTGTGGTCCCTCCGCTCCCGGGGGGCGAGCGGGTCTCAGGCTGGGCGAAGGGGGCGAGGGCGCCACCACCGCGGCCAAGCCGACGGCGGCGGGTTCAACCACGGGAGCGCGACAAGGAACCGCGACCCACCTGACTGAGAAGCGCTGGGCTGGACGGTCCCCGCCGCCACGAGAAGGCTCACCCAGACCCACAGTCCTGTCGCCAGCTTCATTTTTTGGACGTCTCAGATCCCGTGCCGACAATTACATGTCCAAATGGCATATCCCCTTTCGCGCACGCGGAGGAGAGCCCTCAGCCAGGCGCGCCTGGGGGCGCGCGGGGACCGGCGCGCGGGGGATCGGCTCCGAGCGCCGACGGCCGATCCGCGCCCGCGGGCCCAGGGCCGGGACCCGGGGAGGGGAGAGTGTGCGCGCTAGTGGGAGGGTGCTCGAGTGTGTGCGCCGGGTGCTCCGGGCCAGACTGTGCAGCTATTTCCCCGTGTGAGCCTTCGCTTTCTCGCTCCCTCCTCACTTTCTCTCTCACTGGTTGGTCCACAGTAGAAAGGAAGGGGAAAAAGGTTTCCAAAAAAAGTTGATTGCAAAGGGGCGGTAGGTTTCCGGCCTCTCCCCCAGCCGGGCTATGTTCGGCTCCCTTTTCAGTTTCCCTGCACCTCCAGTCCAAAGTAGGAGGGGAGGAGGGGGAAAGCGTTTTGCCTCTCCCCGGATCCTCGCCTTCTTTTTCCTGTCAGCTTGCCTCACACTTGTCCGGCGGCTGCGGTAATTAAAGCTCCGAGCGTCATTTCCAACGCTCCGCGGTCTCCAGCTGCAGCCCCACAGAGAAATTAATAAGGCTCGGGGAGGAAAAAGGTGGAGGGGGCGGATAAAGCCGCCCGCAAGCCACCGGGCGGGCTCGGCTCGGCCGCGCAAGCCCCGCCCCCGCGCTGACCCAACTGGCCACGCCCTCTCTCCCGCCTCCCCCGCAAAGGGAAATCTTATTGGCTCAGCCACTCCCCAAAATCGTGGGCCTCGGGAGTTGGGAAAACACCTGTCAGGGAGCCGGAGCTGGGTGGTGCGGGCGGGGGAAGCTGGATTTGCAGGGCTCACCGAGGCCTCAGACTGAAACAGAGGCCCGGAACAGCTGGCCCGCGGCGCGCGGACCACCGGAGGGGTGCTTGCAGAAAAGATTTTTTTTAAACAAGAAAGTCACCGTTTGATTCATTGCCCTACGGTGCTCATCCACAGACGACTTTCCCTAGAAATAGAAGGAACGACAAGGTTGCCTCGGGCAAAAAGTCTCCCCGCCTCTCTACCCACTCGTGCTCCACTCTGGGAAAGGAGTTTAACAGCCGGTTCAGTAACTGGTAGCCTCTGCACGTTAGGAGTCCTGATCTCTTCCTGAGCTATGCCATCTCTCCCACGATTCCCACCCTCGCAAACTGACCGACGCTGACTCAAACTAAAACTCCACCTTTGGAGAGCTGCATCCTTTGATTTTGGGACTTTAGGGGTCTTTTCACCTTTTCCTTGAATTCTAAGACAACTTGGTTTGGGGTTTATTCATTAAGTAGATTCTAGTCTAAAGCCACCGATTTGGTTCTAAAGGGGTAGAAATTTGTCCCAGGCCTGTTATTCATTCGGAAAAGATTGAGAAGGGCTTGTCAGCACATAACCAACCTCATGACTAGGCTTCCTCTACAGTGGACCCAGCTTTAGGCTCCTCCCAGGTTTTCACTCTTCAAGGTCGCTGCTCCCCAAGCCCGAGGTCACTGCTAGCTATGGGAGTGTCTGGGCTTTTCTGGGTCTAAAACATCCTGGGCTTGGGTCATATCAGTGTATATATCCCTTGCCTTTTACAGCTCTGAAACTGTACCCTGGGCAGAGACCAGAACCTCCTGGGAGGTTGTAGGTATTGGTTTGCTATTTGCACAGGCATTCTATGTATGAATTATTTTCCTTTTTCAGTTTCTCTAGAAGCAGCAAATATATAATGAAAAGTATCAGGGGAACTTAAAAATCAAGCCACCTGCCTCCTCACTCATCATTTGAGACCTCCCCATTCCTCCTCCACATCTTTTATCTATAGCCTGTCCCTTAAGAATTTCCAGGAGCTGAGCACAGAGAGAAACAGCAGCCTCCTCTCAGAAGCCTGAAGCCTTCCCTTTGTTAGGCCCACAGCTAGTAGCAGGCACAGAGAGGAGGCCAAACAGGCTGAGCGTGCTGTTCCACCCAGAAGCAGCCTAGGGCCAGGAGAAATGAAGCCTAGAGCAGATGATAGTGACTGAACCGGAGTGGGATTGATTGCCACAGAACTGTGCACACTGCTCTTTGGGATTATCTTTGTTTTCTGTTTTTAGCACCCCCACCCTCTGTTTCCTTTTCTTTCAGTTTCTTCTCAGCTCCCTTGCCTTAAATCCCCTTCTGCTTCTTTTAATGACTCTCAGACACCTCTCTTCCATGAGTGCTATTTCTTTTTAAAATTCCCATTCCGTCCCCAGAATAACGACGGGAGTGACTTAAAAAAAACTTCTTGCTTTTGGAAAAGTTAAGTTTCTGTCTGAAAAAGAGAAGTCTTATTTCTGATAGCTATGTTGCAAGAGATGAAGTAATGAATTGTATATTTTAGCTTAAATTGAGGGAAAAATTAAATAGTCTGAATATTTTGGTTTTTTCTATATTTGTGTCCCCTGTGGTAGCTTTTACTCCCCCACCAATTTTACAGCTCTTTAGTGGCAGAAACTTTCCTATATACCTTAGCCCCATTTTCCTGGTTTTAACTGAGTGAAACAATGATTGACAACTGGCCAAATTTGAGTATCTGACCAACAGGGTATAAAATGAATTGGTATGAAAACTCTGCCCCAAAAAGCATGCTATATTCAGTGGTGACTGGTCTACCCAATCAGAGTCTAGCTCACATAATTTGAATATGAGACCTTAGAGACTTAGACAGAAGGTGGTACCCTGTGTTGGCAAACTGGAAGTGAAAAAGTAGAAGCCATGAGCTAGAGTCAAGAATTAACTCTTTTTTTGTTTGCTCCCATTTGCTCCCCATCTCAACTGAGTCATCGTAAGAAAGGAACACCAGAGGAGCGGACATTGGCTACCTGATGTTGAAAGGAAATGCTAACTGGATTGCCAGAGGATTTCTGAGATGGATCTCTGTATTTATTCACTTTCCCATGTATCTTTATAATAAATCTCTATCAGTTGATTTAACTAAAATATGTTGCTGTTATTTGCAACCTGGAAAAAAACACATCTGAGCGACACAACATGTTACTTAGCAAACCACAGGTGAATACCTGGACTTATCTGCTAGTGTCCTTTCAGTTCTACATCCTTAGCTTGGGCCTGCCTCCATAGCACAGCAATCCCCACTCCCTTGTTCCTAGTTAGGCCAATGAAAATGCCTTGGTCACTGCTGATTGGCTGAGAGATGGCCACTCCAACTGAGTCTCTCCCCTGGGATTTTTGTGAATGGAAAAGAAAGAATTCATATTCAGTCATTCACTGGTAGCTTTTGAGATGTAAAAGCCTAGAGCTGGCCTGTCTATATTTCCTTCTTTGTAGCGATAACCAGGCTGCAGTGAGAAAGAGTGAAGCTGCCATTTGAAAGGAGCAAAAGCCCAGACAGGTCTGGAGAATCTTCAAGCTCTACCTGCTGCTTATTTGTTCAAAACCCCTTTTTCCTCAAGCTAGTTCAATTTTTCTTTTCAAAACCAGGACAGCATGAAATGGTAAAGAACTTCTCCAGCCTGAGTGAGAACATATAGGCCATCATGCCTTTTGAGGAAGATATCTTGATATGGCCCGTGTTCAGTTTCCCTTCCCAGTTTGTCAAGATTTCCCTTGGCTGAAGCCATAACCCCAACAAAGAGATTCCATTGGCCTTTGTTGCTTCCCCATTTCTCCTTTTCCACTTCATTTCTTCCATTAGTGATAGAATTCAAGGAGAGTCTCGACATCGTGAGTGACAGAATGGTACTGGTGAGAGAAAGGAATACGTTGATCTCAGAGTTCAGTGTTGAGCTAGATACCTAACTTTGTCCCAGAGTCTGATAGTTCACTCCAGTCTTCAGCTCGTTTCTAAGACTTCCCTAAAGGTAAAATTAGAGCTTGCTGCTTTAGACATTTTGTCATTGGCCATAAATACAAAGTTCAGACAAATATCAACTAAGAAAAGAAAACAACACCCAATCATACATCAGTTCCTTCTCTTGAACATTTAAAAATAAATATGGGATTCTAATTTTCCCTCCCTGCCTGTCATCATCCTCCTCGTCATTTTTCTAAGTTATCCTGTGATCATGAGAAACTCATTTCATATACCTGCACCCATTGCTTCATCTTTAAAGGAAGGGTTATGTCCCAAATCTAAGACTTTACTAGTCTGTGATTTACTGATCACCTGCTAAGTGCAAGTCATAATTTTCACAGACTGTTTCCTGTATCCCATCCTCTTTTCCCCACTCACACACAGTCATCTCTTCATCTGGGGCTCCAACACAGCCATATCTTAAAATGCCTTAGGAAAATATCCACATAAGCTCGCTACTATATTACTGTGAAGTGCTTAAGACTTTGGATCTTTACTATTCTATCAATCAACCAAGAAGAAATTTTGGTAAATACCAATCAATTCAATATTATGATGATCAAGCAGATAACAGATGCTGTGTTGGTGGTATTTATTTGTTTGCTTCTTAATTTAGCACTTGAAATAAGATCTTTGCTCTTAACCATCAGAGTTCTGGAATTCTCTGATATTTTGTTGATGTTCAGTGTTTCAAGGCCAAAAGAAAAACACTTTGAAAGTTCAAAGTGTTTTTCTTTTTTCCTTACTTTTTCTTTCTTTTTTTTTTCTTTGCTGTGGAAGATTTGCCCTGAGCTAACATTTGTTGCCAATCTTCCACTTTTTGCTTGAGGAAAACTTGCCCTGAGCTAACATCTGTGCCAGTCTTCCTCCATTTTGTATGTGGGTTACTGCCGCAGTACGGCCACAGATGATTGGTGTAGGTCTACACCCAGGAAGTGAACCCAGGCCACCAAAGTGGAGCACGACTGAACTTAACCACTAGGCAATGGGGCTGGCCTCTAAAAGTTCAAAGATTTTTTTGAATGAATGAATACACATTAACTAAAGAAATGTTTTTATAACCTTAGTTAATTTCATATCCAAAGGGAACTTCCACAAGCAATTTTCCTTTTTGGTTAGTAAGTGTTGTTTTCTTTCTATGTGCATGATTAAGCCTTAATTTTTTAAGTGCTAAGGAGGAGTGACTGAATATAAATAAATCAAATCTGTGTTGCTTTTATGTCTGTTCATCAGTGTCTATCCAAGTTCTTACAGACATTTTTGGTTTGTGGTTGAAACTGCAAAACAATTTCAGCCCTGTGAACAAAGCGGTCTTTTCCAAAGAAGTTATGCAAAATGATTTTCCTGGTAAGAGCTTTTCCTCTTGTGTATCTGCCTTATATATTTTCTTAAACTAGGTTCTTTTATCATAGCTTTTCCTACTGCTTTATAAGCTTAAAGATAAAGTAAGCCTTCAATAACAGTTGCCAACTGAAAACTAATAAGAAAA